CTCAGCAGGGCCGCCGCATGGCTGCTGGCGCTCTGCCCGGCCTTCTCGTGCATCCTGGCGCCGGGCGGCCAGGCGGGGGTGCGCTCGGGGAGAAGGCCAGCTGCTCGCGCACATCTGTCCTCAAAACCGATGTATACCACGCCCTCCATGCCCGAGTCAGATTCCACCGCCCAGGGTCACGTCGAGAGTGTACAAAACCCACACGCCCCAGAGAGGGAAAATGGGTGGATCCAAACCGCGACCAAGACCGTCGCCCATCCCCCGATGCTTTTGGGTATAGTGTACGCATGTTTCGGGCGGGCAATACAGGCCTCGGAACAAATTAGCGAACACATGCCACATTCATCCGTCAACGCCTCCCCCATCGCCTCCCCCTCCCCCCAATGTTCAAAATTGGCGGTGGGTCTGATGAGATGCAATTCGACCGCAGTCCCCCCCGCGCGTGCCAACATTGAGTTTGGGGGGGAGGGGGAGGGTTCAGTAATTGTTTCCCTCTACCGTATCACCATCAAGTGAGACGACAGGCGGCAACGCCTGCAAACTCGTCCCCTGGAGTCCCGCTTTCGCGCCGAGGCGCCGTCGCAGATCGACGCAGCGCGGAGGATATCCCGCACGGAGACGGGGACCGTGAGTTTCGCACGGCGGCGGCGCGGGAAGGGCGAGCCACACCAGCCTGCGCCGCCGGGCGGGGGCCGCGAGCGAGGCGCCGCTCGGCCACGGGTGTGCACTCGCCGCCGCGCGTGGTGCCTGCGATCTGGCCCGAGGGCTGCACCCTGCGAAATGCTTAAGAAATCATGGGTTAAGAAACTCAGAGTCTCAGAAATTGAATAACAACCCAGGATTTCTGTGAAAATCTTAGGACTTACATTGAAAAGTTAAGAACAATCGAGACACTGGACGAAAACTTAGGCTTTCTTAAGCATCGCCTAGGGTGTAACACGGAGCGCCCCAGGGACAGCACGCGTGTGGCACAACTGGGTGATGTAGCGGGCTAAGCTGTCGTGCCGGTGTTCTGCATGCTCTCAAGCCGAGAAGGGCGCTCGGGCTGCAAGGGGGTCCCTGGCTCTTGCCTGCGCGTTTCTGCTGGCGACGGCGCGCCCGCGATTCCCTGGTTGCTCTCCACGCCTCCCCGCCTGGTGGACAATCGCGGTCGACAGCAAATCATCAGGTTTCTGTGGTCGGTGAGGGACTACCGTGGGCTCAGGAACAGAACTCTGCCGTGCAATAGAAGCCCGCCACGGGTGCCTGTGTCGACTCGACACACCGAACGCGTCGTGCACCCGGGACCCTGCGCCATCGTTCCAAACCTTTCGACCTGGGTGTGCCCACAACTGGGGCCCGCCCCGGCCAAAGCCGGGCACCCCGGCCACTCTGAAGACCGCTGGCCACGAACATTACCGGGAACGCCCTGCTGCTGAGGAGGACACCCTCTTGCAGTGGAGGCCAGTCCACAGGAAACCATCAACAAGGAAGAAACCCAGCCCTGGAACCCCAGGACGCCCAGTGATTTTTGTTGGTGTTGGGGAACTTCTGGCTTTCGGCAGAGGGAAACAATTACTGAACACTCCCCCTCCCCCCCAAACTCGATGTTGGCACGCGCGGGGGAGACTGCGGTCGAATTGCATCTCATTGGGGGGAGGGGGAGGCGATGGGGGAGGCGGTGACGGATGAATGTGGCATGTGTTCGCTAATTTGTTCCGAGGCCTGTTTCCACAGCAAAAATCGGATCCCAAGACACCCAGGGCACCCTGGAGGCGAGCAGGGTGTTTCTTGGTATGGGCCTCCACCGTATCGGAGACTCGGGTGCCAGTCAGGCTTGCGGGCGCACGGCGCTCCCGCTCGGCATCTCTCGAGGGACGAACACAAAGGCGTGCCTACACTCTTGCCCGAGACTTGCTTGGCCGCAACTCGGCCAAACAGAGAGGCGCGCGGCCCGATTCCAGCGTCTACGGAGAGCTCTTCGGCGAGGAGCCGCTGTTCACCACATTGTCTTCTCCACGTAGCTTGCACCACAGAGTTTACACCTCACATCTACTGATCTCACACCACACAGCTTGGCATCACGCAGCTTGTACCACATAGCTTGCACTGCACAGCGCGCATCAGCAATATTGCACCAAGTGGAAGGTACCAGACAGCTCGCACCGAAATCCTTCCGCCACGGACCGGTCTCCACATCGGAGGGTCGGGGGTGACCGACCTGAGTATCGTTTAACCGATCCCCATCCCCAGCGGCGTGCTCTGGGCCCCACAGGCCGATGTACCTCGTTCCCTTCGGGCTTCGAGGGGTGTCTCCCCAACTGGGGTCGTAATTTGGTGGGGGTCTTGAAGGGGATGGGGATGGGGATGGGGGTCGGCTAAACGATACTGACCGATAGACAAGGGACGGAGACTCCCAGTGGGAGGTCGGCTCCGGCCTCGTGGCCATGCCGTGGCTGTGCGGGCGAGGCGAGAGGCTGCGTGCGCGGGCGAGCGGAAAGAGCCCGCCGTCGTTGCTGGGGCGACACCGGGCCAAGAGATGCTGTGATGGGCCTCTGTTCCACCACCACCACCATGAGTTGGAGGGGGGAAGGAGATGGAGGATCAGGAGGAAGAAGAGGACCCCCTCCCCCTCCAACTTGTAGTGGTGGTGGAAAACAGGCCCATCATGCTGTGCCCTCCCCCCGGTTGTGGCGGCGAGCGCGGGGAGGAAGCCAGACGGAGCGGGCCTGCTCGGAAGGCTCGGACGTCCTCCGGCCTCTGAGAAGTTTCCGAAGCCTTCCCCGAAGACAGGAAAAGAAGGCGCGAGGGCTTCTGAGAAGTCTCGCCGCCTTCTGAGAAGGCCTTCTCCTTCTCATTTCCCCCTCCTCGCTCGCCGTCCCCAGTTGGCCAGCAGGGGCCTGCGGCTGTCTTGGTGGTGTCCCCGGATAGGTGGTGTCCCTGATGTTGTCCCTGATAGTGTCCCGATGGCGTCCCAACGTTCTCCCGATGGTGTCCCGATGATGCCCAGAGGGTGTCCTGATGGTGATCCGATGGTGTCCTAGTGGTGCCCCCTATGGTGTCCCGATGGTGTCCCGATGGTGCCACGATGGTGTCCGAAAGGTGTCTCGATGGTGTCCCGATGGTTTATCCCTATGGTTGTCCCGTGAGAACGATGGATGGATAGATGGATATATATATATATATATATATAGTGAGGTCGAGGGATAATGAGACCGATCGGTAGTGAGATCGACAGAAAGACAGTGAGATCGATTGTGAGATGGATAGCGAGACCGGTTGAAGGTGAGACTGATAGAGTGACAGATTGACCGATGGTGATATCACGAGTGAGATCGTGAAATAGCAACTGGATCCGATAGCGAGATTGTGTGTGTTTTTAATGTCTGGTAGATCGATAGTGAGACGGATATTGATATCAATAAACAGATAGTGATATCGACAATGACATCGGTAGTGCGATCGTTCGAGAAATCGATGGTGAGATCGAGATAAGGGGACCGATAGTGGAATCGATTGAAAGTTGGGGGTGAGATCGAAGTGAAACGGACCCCCCCACTGGGAGATCGGTTTCGCTTTCGTGTTCGTGTCGTGCGTGCGGGCGAGTTGAAGCTGCGTGGGCGGGCGAGCGGAAGGAGCCCGCTGTGGGTCGGGCGATGCGGGGTCCAATGCTTCTGTACCCCCCGGTTAGCCGGCGGTGACCTGGAGATGTCCCAATGGTGTCCCAATGGTGCCACGATGGTGTCTCGGTGTTGTCCAGATGGTGTTCCGATGATGTCCACATGGTGTCCCGCGGGCACATCACCAGCATCGTCACTATCACAAGCATCGCAATTGTCATGATTTGTTGTCCCCCCTCGCATCGTTTGATTTGGTTTCGTGTTCGTGCCGTGCGCGCGGGCAAGGCGCCATTATCGAAATCGCCGTGCATCGTCACCACCGCAATCGCCATCATGCATCGAAACCAACATCGTCATCATGCGTCGCCAACAGCTCGCGAGCGCATTACCAGTATCGTCACCATCACAATCATCGCACATTGTGATCAGTTGGACCTCCGCACAACCGCCTTATCACCCGAAGGGTGGTCGTATAGGTAGCTTGCACCATATAGCTTGCACCACAATGCCACAATGCTTTCGAAGCATGTCTTGCACCACCTTGTTTCCACAACACGGCTTGCACTTCCAGAATTACCAAACCCACTCTGTTTTGGGCCCACACGTGGAAACGGAAAAAAAACGCAAGATGCATGGGTCTAGTGACACGTTGAACTCGGCCAACAAAGACGACCTGGCTCCTCTCGATACTTCGGCAGACTGCGCGCTCGCGGGGCCCGCGGGCGCGCGGCGTCCTGAAGAGATCGTCCTCGGGCCCCCTGTGCCTCGAAGTTGGCGAAGTCATGCCCTGGCGAAACCCCAGCCACCCCACCCCAGAGGCACCCCTAAGCGTCTCTCGCAAAGAGGAATTATTTTGTGCAGGAGGCGTAGCAAGAGGCAGGAGAAGTACGACTATCAGTACCATTACTACTACTATTACTACTACTACTACTACTACTACTACTACTACTACTACTACTACTACTAGTACTACTACTACTACTACTACTACTACTACTACTACTACTACTACTACTACTACTACTACTCCTACTACTCCTACTACTCCTACTACTCCTACTACTACTACTACTACCACCACTACGGCTACGACTACAACTACTCCTACATACTACCACTCCCACTCCCACTTCTACTACTACTACTACTACTACTACGACGACGACGACGACGACTACTACTACTACTACTACTACTAGTACTACTACGAATAATAATATGGATACTAATACTATTACTAAGTCTAATACCACGAATCAGACTACTACTACTACTACTACTACTACTACTACTACTACTACTACTACTACTACTACTACTACTACTACTACTACTACTACTACTACTATCTACTTACTACTACGATACTACTACTACTACTACTACACTACTACTACTACT